GCCATATTCTTTCCATTTTTTAATAATGGATTTAATGGTGCTCTGTGGGATGTTCAAAGTTGCTGATTGCTTTTTTATAACCCAACCGTGATCTGTACTTCTCCACAAGTTTGTCCCTGACCTGTTTGGAGAGCTCCTTGGTCTTCATGATGCCGCTTGCTTGGTGGTGCCCCTTACTTTTTTACATTTAAATTTAAATTACTTAGTGGTGTTGCAGACTCTGGGGCCATTCAGAACAGGTGTATATATACTGAGATCATGTGACACTTAGATTGCACACAGGTGTACTTTATTTAACTCATTATGGGACTTCTGACGGTAATTGGTTGCACCAGATCTTATTTAGGGGCTTCATAGAAAAGGGGGTGAATACATATGCACACACCAATTTATTTATTTTTTACTTTTTAGAATGTTTTGAAACAAGTAACTTTTTTCATTTCACTTCACCAATTTGGACTATTTTGTGTATGTCCATTACATGAAATCCAAATAAAAATCCATTTAAATTACAGGTAGTAATGTAACATAATAAGAAAAATGCCAAGGGAGCTGAATACTTTTGCAAGGCACTGTACTTTTCCTCTGCAAACAAAACAAACAATGAATAGAAAAATCAGACTACCCCATAGTAGAATAGTTTATCTATTTACAGTGCCTTCAGAAAGTATTCACACCCCTCGACTTTTTCCACATTCTGTTGTGTTACAGCCTGAATTTAAAATGGATAAAATTGCCATTTTGTGACACTGGCCTACACACAATACCCCATAGAGTCAAAGTGGAATTATGTTTTTTGAATTTTTTTACAATTTATACTGAACAAAAACATAAACGCAACGTGAAGTGTTGGTCCCATGTTTCATGAGCCTAAATAAAATATCCTAGAAATGTTCCATACGCACAAAAAGCTTATTTCTCTCAGTTACGGAGCATTTGTCCTTTGCCAAGATAAACCATCCACCTGACAGGTGTGGCATATCCAGAAGCTGATTAAACAGCATGATCATTACACAGGTGCACCTTGTGCTGGGGAAAATAAAAGGCCACTCTAAAATGTGCAGTTTTGTCACACAACACAATGCCACAGATGTCTCAAGTTTTGAGGGAGCGTGCAATTGGAATGCTGACTGCAGGAATGTCCACCAGAGCTGTTGCCAGATAATTTAATGCTAATTTCTCTACCAAACAACGTCGTTTTAGAGAATTTGGCAGTATGTCCAATCGGCCTTACAACCGCAGACCACGTGTAACCACGTCAGCCCAGGACCTCCACATCCGGCTTCTTCACCTGCAGGATCGCCTGAGACCAGCCATCCGGAAATCTTACGAAACTGTGGGTTTGCACAACCCAGGGATGCTCACCTTTGATGGCCACTGGCACGCTGGAGAAGTGTGCTCTTCACGGATGAATTCCGGTTTCAGCTGTACCGGGCAGATGGCAGATAGCGTGTATGGCGTCGTGTGGGTGAGCGGTTTGCTCATGTTAACGTTGTGAACAGAGTACCGTGACGAGATCCTGAGGCCCATTGTTGTGTCGTTCATCCATCGTCACACCTCATGTCTCAGCATGATAATGTATGGCCACATGTCGCAAGGATCTGTACACAATTCCTGGAAGCTGAAAATGTCCCAGTTATTTCATGGCCTACATGCTCAATCTCACCCATTGAGCATGTTTGGGATGCTCTGGATCAACGTGTACGGCAGCGTGTTCCAGTTTCCGCCAATTTCCAGCAACTTCGTACAGCCATTGAAGAGGAGTTGGACAACATTCCACAGGCCACAATCAACAGCCTGATCAACACTATGCGAAGATGTGTCACACTGCATGAGGCAAATGGTGGTCACACCAGATACTGTTTTTCTGATCCAAGCCCCTACCTTTTTTTTTTAAGGTGTCTGGGACCAACAGATGCATATCTGTATTCCCAGTCATGTGAAATCCATAGATTAGGGCCTAAATATTTATTTTAATTGATTGATTTCCTTATATGAACTGCAACTCAGTAAATCCTTTGAAGTTGTTGCATGTTGTGTTTATTTTTGTTTAGTGTAAAAATGAAAAGCTGAAATGTCTTGAGTCAATAAGTATTCAATCCCTTTGTTATGGCAAGCCTAAACAAGTTCAGGAGTTTTCCAATGCCTCGCATTGAAGATCACCTATTGGTAGATAAAATAAGAAATAAAAGAAAATAGACATTGAATATCCTTTGAGCATGGTGAAGTTATTATTTACACTTTGGATGGTGTGTCAATACACCCAGTCACTACAAAGATACAGGCGTACTTCCTAACTCAGTTGCCCCGAGAGTAAGGAAACCGCTCAAGGATTTCACCATTAGGCCAATGGTGACTTTTAAACGTTTAATGGCTGTGAAAGGAGAAAACTGAGGATGGATAAACAACATTGTAGTTACTCCACAATACTAACCTAAATTATAGAGTGAAAAGAAGGAAGCCTGTACAGAATACAAATATTCCAAAACAAGCATCCTGTTTGCAAGAAGGCACTAAAGTAAAACTGTAAAAAATATGGCAAAGACATTAACTTTCTGTCCTGAATACAAAGCGTTATGTTTGGGGCAAATCCAACACAACACGTCACTGAGTACCGCTCTTTATATTTTCAAGCATGGTGGTGGCTGCATCATGTTATGGGTATGCTTGTCATCGGCAAGGACTAGGGAGTTTTTTTATATAAAAATTAATGAAATAGAGCTAAGCACAGGCAAAATCCTAGAGGTAAACCTGGTTCAGTCTGCTTTCCAACAGACACTGGGAGACAAATTCACCTTTCAGCAGGACAATAATGTAAAACACAAGGCCAAATAAACACTGGAGTTGCTTACCAAGACAACATTGAATGTTCCTAAGTGGTACAGTTTAGACTTAAATTAGCTTGAAAATTTATGGCAAGACTTGAAAATGGCTGTCTAGCAATGATCAACAACCAACTTGACAGATCTTGAATACGTTTTTTAAAGAATAATGTGCAAATATTGTACAATCCAGGTGTGCAAAGCTCTTAGAGACTTACCCAGAAAGACTCATAGCTGTAATCACTGCCAAAGTTAATTCTAACAAGTATTAACTCAGGGGTGTGAATACTTATGTAAATGAGATATTTCTGTATTTCATTATCAATAAATATGCACAAATTTTTAAAACATTTTCACTTTTTCATTATGGGGTAGTGTGTGTAGATGAGTGAGAAGAAAATATGTTTAATCCATTTTAAATTCAGGCTGTAACACAACAAAATGTGGAATAAGTCAAGGGGTATGAATACTTTCTGATGGCACTGTACCTAGTCGGCTTTTTGTTGTGTGTTCTATGCAAGATAAATATTTATCTCCAGGCGCATTCAAGGGAGGGAAACATGCATTCTGACAAGCAGTCAATGCACAACAAGTCTTGCAATCGTGGGGAAAACAGCAGTTTTGATAGCCATTGTTAAAAATAGGGGGATCCTAGCTTTCCATTCCTACTTTATTTATTTCTCAAATCCTAAATATGCAGAGCCATCGTTAGGCATGTTACCGCTCCACAATTCACTTTGAGTGCATAGGGGAGAGTGGGGCTAGATTTAACAAGGCTCAATTGTAGGGTAACTTAGTGAAAAACACCACCTTACCTAAAAGTATGTTTATGTGAGAAGTAGTTCTTACCCCGGGTGGCAGTTTACCCCAAGTTACCCTAACAGGTAGGCCTACATTATATTCACTGTGTTTATGTAAGTTTATTGGGGAAATAAAATTAATCAATAGGATACTAACTAGTTAAAATATCACATTTGGGATCTAGCTAATGATTAGCCCAATAGAGTACAGTGGGTAAATGCAGATAGGCAACCCCATGCTTCAGCCTATTTATTTATAGCCACTATACCGCATCAGTTGGGCTACAGGTGATAATGCTTATTCCTAAAAGCATACCTGATAATATGGAACATGCATAGGCTATATGTATGCTCTAATATGTTAAAATAATTTAAACAAATAATTTAACCAATTTGGTGTCAGCATAATTTTATTTTCATTGGACTAGAATGTCCTTTTAAAAAGTCACCAGAACTGAGCTTCTCAGTCCTTCCTATATACCTTTTTTATTTTTTTATGTTTTATTTAACCAGGAAGAAACCCCTCTTTTGCAAGGGAGACCTGACCAAGAAAGCAGCAGCAGTCAATATAACATTAAAACATTTCAACATACAATACAAACAGCACAACACGTCATTAAGAGCGGATTAGGCCTACAGGAAACACTTACATTCCTCCTCAACAGAGTTTTGGGACATAGTTTTAAACTCACTAAGGAGCACTAGTACATCTAGGTGAAACGTATTTTGCAGACTGTTCCATGCCTCTGTTGCACAAAAGGAAATGCAGTCTTGCCTCACTCGGTAACGGCCCTGTATTGGTTAATTATACATTTCTTCAACTTCTTCAACCTGAGCTGGCTTCCTCAGTCCATCTAGCTGCACTGGCTATGTATTTTTTCTCTAAACACTTGTTTCATGCGTCATCTGTTGTGATCGGACTACTACGAGCTCCATAAAAAGCTGCTCTTGTTTGCTGTGTGCTGGATCGTTAAACACCTCTAGAAAGAACCCCAAACTAAGCAGCAATGAGGAAACAACACCTAGAGTCTCCTTAGATTGTCAAACATTGCCAAGGATAATTTGGTTCTTCTGTATGGAAGGTTCAGAGTCTTTAGAGACTTTTAATGTCTCGAGTCGGGATTTGTCGTTTCAAAGCACAGCCTAAATAATATAATAATAATATGCCATTTAGCAGACGCTTTTATCCAAAGCGACTTACAGTCATGCGTACATACATTTTTTTTGTGTATGGCTGGTCCCGGGGATCGAACCCACTACCTTGGCGTTACAAGCGCCGTGCTCTACCAGCTGAGCTACAGAGGACCACAGAGGATCTAGCTAACCCTGGTCTTTTGTTGCAGGTGGTTGCATGGTGTCCGTCCGGTGCTGGATTATTATGCTCCAGCTGGATGGCACCAAGTGCAGTTTCCTGTTCTGCCTGGGAATCTGCATGTTCATCTGCTCAGTCATCTACCTGAGTGCCAAGGACCCTACAGATCCCAAGGGTCAGCGCAGGCCCCTGGGCTGCAGGCCCTTCTCCCAGTACTGCCAAGCCTTCCTCCCCAGCACTGCAGGCTCGCCAGCATGGCAACGCCACGACTGCCAGGTGGAGAGCTATCTTCTGCGTATGGGGGGTGGAGGCAGGAACCTGGACTGCTCCCGCCTGGTGAGGGAGCTCCACTTCATCACCAGCCCACTGAGCCGCGAAGAGGAAGACTACCCTCTGGCCTTCATCCTCACTGTCCACAAGGAGCTGGAGCTGCTTGTGCGCCTGCTGCGGGCCATCTACGCGCCCCAGAATGTCTACTGTGTCCATGTGGACGTCAAGGCTCCAAAGGAGTACAGGGAAGCTGTGAAGAGCCTGGTGGGCTGCTTCCCCAACGTGTTCCTGGCCAGCCGCAGCGAGATGGTGACCTACGCCGGCTTCTCGCGGCTGCAGGCAGACATCAACTGTATGAGGGACCTGGTGGAATCGCCGGTGCCCTGGAGGAAGGTGGTCAACCTGTGTGGCCAGGACTTCCCCGTCAAAAGCAATCTGGAGCTGGTGCGCTACATGCAGAGCAAGGAGTGGAGGGACAGGAACATGACCCCGGGCATCAAGCAGCCGGCGTCCATGAGGCACCGGACTCAGCTGAGTTACAGGGAGGTCAGGGGCTCCCACTCGGCCCCCAAGCGAGGAGCCCCAAAGAAGGGTGCTCCACCCCACGGGGTGCAGATATACTTTGGCACAGCCTACTACGCGCTAACCAGGACCTTTGTGGAGTTTGTACTGAGAAGTCAGGTGTCCAGGGACTTGCTGGAGTGGTCCAAAGACGCATTCAGCCCAGATGAGCACTACTGGGTGACACTCAATCACATCAAAGGTAAAGGCTTTAGAACCACTCATAAAAAGCAACTTTCTAATACAGTGGCCAATAGAAGTTAATCTCCACAACACAATTGGTACTGAGTTTATGTCAATATATAGGGACATTTCGAACTGTTACATCCGTGAGGAAAACGGATGAGACTTCTACAACACTAGACCTTTCCATGAGTGCATAGCTATGCTACACACAGCCTTTCCAATTTGAAATGCATTCCAAAAGCAAATACCTAGGAGACGAAAAACCTATGCGAAGTCCATAAATCCTGGCGGCCTAGTACCTGTGAGTTCATGTAAGTTCATGAAAGGCTAACTTAAATGTATTTGAGGTGTTCACTGTTCAAATATTACTTTTAGCCTTTATAAAGGGCTTAGTAGGTAAGAGCGTTGTGCCAGTAACCGAAAGGTCGCTGGTTCTAATCCCCGAGCCGACTAGGTGAAAAAATTCTGTCGATGTGCCCTTGAGCAAGGCACTTAACCCTAATTGCTCCTGTAAGTCGCTCTGGATAAGAGCGTCTGCTAAATTACTAAAATGTAAAAATGTAAATAAAGCTTGAAACTTAAAAGGAATGTGTTCAACATGCCCACACTGTTTCAAGTACAGTAGACCAGCCTAGCACAATCCATTTTATTTTATTAAGCAATTTCTACATGAGCAGTTGTCACAAAGTGCTTTACAGATACTCAGCCTAAATCCCCAAACAGCAAGCAATGGAGATGCACAGTGGCTAGGAAAAACTCCCTAGAAGGACTTAAAATTAAGTTAGGGGGAATTCATTCGTACTGATTTTTTTGCGGCTTGCTTTATCTACAGTATATGAGTAGATCAGTGTCCCGTGAATCACTGATGACATTCAAAAGGCTATGAATACTGAAATGTGAGAATGAGATATAATCTGTTTTGGATCGGTTATCTGCTCTTAGAAGCGCCAGGAAGTCATGTAGACGGAGGTTGGAGCGGCGAGATCAGGGCGATAAAATGGAGGGACCAAGAGGGGACTGAACACAACGGATGCAAAGGTACAACAACTCCTGATCCCAGTCATTGTCAGTTTCCAGTCTTGAACTCACTTGTCTAGGGCATTTTTTGCTCCTTGGTTTCAGATTAGATTAGCAAGTAAACAGTTTACACAACAGCAGTTGATAGGATTTGACACTGATCTGATCTGCATGTCCTTTCTGCTGCTGCTCGTCTTTCCGCAGGCCGTTATGTCAGGGACATCTGCATCTACGGTCTGGAGGATTTGCAATGGATCATCAACAGAAACAGCATGTTTGCCAACAAGTTTGAGAGCAAGACCATCCCAGAAGCTTTGGACTGCCTGGAGCAGTGGCACAGGGACAAGGTCCTGCAGCAAGCCACGGTTCCCATCCAGTCATGGTGGCAACTTGCCACGCAAGGCAACACTACCGCTCTTTTCAATGCCACAGTGGGACTTTGACGAGGCCGTGGGGTTCTTCCTGACCGGAATTGGATGTACATCTCCAATAGACGTGTTGGTTATTGTATCGCTTTAGAGGGCTGTACTAAAGTGTGCTGCTAGGGCCTTGATGCATTTCTGTTTGTGCGTTAAGCCCAAATCTCGAGAATGTCACTGCATGGATACCTATTCAAAAGCAAAAAAGCGGAATTCCTCTCCAATCGTAGGAAACCGAATGCAAGGTGACCAGAGAAGACTTGTTATTGACATATCTCGGTTGTCCTGAAACGCTTTGTGATAAAAATAGACTTGGTATATCACTAAAGCCGCATGCTGCCCAGTTGAAACAGTTTGCACAAACATTATGACAACATTTTGTGAAGTTTCTGTTCGTTTTTGGGGCTGTTTAAGCACACAACATTTTTTATTGAGGAAAATCAAAGTCCGGTTACCGAAGTCTACGCCCGTTCGTCAGTTATTGGTCTACAGTACTACTCCTAGTAGGAGTGGGAATAGGGCTTGGCGATATGGACAAAATATAATATCACAATATTTTTGACTGTATTTTATGTTTTTCAATAATACAAGTTCTAAATATGCTTTATGAGTAGATATAGGATGGCAACACATAAAGTATAAGTGATTTCAATGGGGCTTTCTCCATTTATACCACGTGTGAAACTCATTCCACGGAGGGCCGAGTGTCTGTCGGTTTTCGCTCCTTCCTTGTATTTGATTTATGAATTAAGGTCACTAATTAGTAAGGAACTCCCCTCACATGGTTGTCTAGGTCTTAATTGAAAGGAAAAAACAAAAACCCACTGACACTATGCCCACCCCTTATTTATACTGTTAAATCCAACTCCAAACAATAATAATTCTCAGCATTTTCATACATTTCCTGCACTTTTATTATAATTTCCACACTGTGCCATGCAGCATAAAATATAGGCCTAGTTAATATGTGAACTGTTGGAATCATGGAAATATAATGATTATTCTAATTCTAGAGTTGGAATATAGTGGGCAGCCCCTTGAATACATTGTTGTTTGACATGACAATAATGAATAAACCAGGGAGGAATTATTGACAGGGTGTTTCCAGGTGATTAGATGTCACATTACATGGTCTCTTACTTCATGTAGCTAGCTAGCTAGCCAACATATTCATGCTTCGCCTATTCCTCTCTGATAAGATACCGATGCACAAACATGCTTATCTAGGCCTACACCAGCACTGGTACACAGGCAGTATTAGCTAGCTACGTTTTCTCTGACTCTTAGTACATTTAGCAAGCTAGCTAGCCAGCTAACTAGTGATTACCATTAGCGGTTAGCACAAATTATTTTAGCAACACCTTGCTAAATAGAAGGTAAAGTAAAAACTGAAACCGGTCCGTGCATCAATACTGGTACTGTATATAGTAAAATACGGTATACCGCCCAGCCCTAAGTGGGAACTATGGACGGGATTCTTCAATGACGTATTTGTTGTCATTCAACGAGAGACGACTAGTTTTCATGCACATTTTTCCACATGAGAAATACTGCACCAAACATCTTAGATGTAAAATTGCGTGACTAAGACCTCCTCTGCAAAAATGTCAACATTTATTACAGATTTCTTGATTAATCTTAGATTCATTTGGGCTATTTTGAGGAAGTGTACTAGCTATGTTGTTGCTACGGTGGCTCAAAAGGGACAAACAACTGTAATATTGCCACCTTTTTTCTAGTTTTTCAAGCGAAGGTCTTTAGGGACTATACGAGCACAGCCGAGTTCTGCAAAGAGAAAACCAAACCTCAACCTATGTATGCGGACGCACAGTGGCTGAGAGGATGACGCAACCATAATCACTAAGGAATTCATAAGTCTCCCCCGGCTGCGCCACACAAGGCCCCTTTAGAGACCTGTGGTGCACTTTGACAACAGACCCACTTTGACAACAGACCCACTGTACCAAAGGGATTCGGTAAACTTTACAGGCGAGACCAATACACAACTCTCTGAACATGGCTGCTTAGATGTGTTGTCATTTCAAAAACTAAAAGTAATAGATTTTTTTTTTACACTGGATGACACATTAAGAATAATATATTTAAAGTAAACTATTATATTTGTCCTTGTGTTTTGGGTTATTGTCCTGCTGAAAGGTGAATGTCTCCCAGAGTCTGTTGGAAAGCAGACTGAACCAGGTTTTCCTCTAGGATTTTGCCTGTGCTTATCTCTATTCTGTTAATTTTTAACCCCCCCAAAAAACTCCCTAGTTCTTGCCAAGCATACCCATAACATGATGCAGCCACCACCATGCTTGAAAATATGAAGAGTGGTACTCAGTGATGTGTTGGATTTGCCCCAAACATAACGCTTTGTATTCAGGACATAAATGTTAATTTCTTTGCCACATTTTTTGCAGTTTTACTTTAGTTCCTTATTGCAAACAGGATGCATGTTTTGGAATATTTTTATTCTGCACAGGCTTCCTTCTTTTCACTCTTAGGTTAGTATTGTGGAGTAACTAAATTGTTGATCAGTACTCAGTTTTCTGCTATCACAGCCATTCAAAAGTCTGTTAATGTCACCATTGGCCTCATGGTGAAATCCCTGAGAGGTTTCCTTCCTCTCCGGCAACACTTGTATCTTTGTAGTGGCTGGGTATATTGATACACCATCCAAAGTGTAATTAATAACTTCACCATGCTCAAAGGATTATTCAATGTCTGTTTTTTTTCTCTTTACTTTTATAAAAATATAATATAATATGCCATTTAGCAGACGCTTTTATCCAAAGTGACTTATCCATGTGTGCATAAATTTTTACATATGGGTGGTCCCGGGGATAGAACCCACTACCCTGGCGTTACAAGCGCCATGCTCTACCAATTGAGCTACAGAGGCTCAACCATGCTCTACCAATAGGTGCCCTTCTTTGCGAGGCATTGGAAAGCCTCCCTGGTCTTTGTGATTGAATCTGTGTTTGAAATTCTACTTACATATTTTGATTTGTTTAACACTTTTTGGGTTACTACATGATTCCATATGTTATTTCATAGTTTTGATGTCTTCACTATTATTCTACAATGTAGAAAATAGTAAAAATAAAGAAATACCCTGGAATGAGTAGGTGTGTCCAAACTTTTGACTGGTACTGTATGTTTGATTGTTAAAAGGTCAAAATGTTGCATGTGCTAATCATAACTAATTACCGTTGTTTGCCATTTGTTTTGCAACTATCACAAAATAATACTACTAATTATTTAAAGGTGCAATCCCAAAATGTCCTCCTGTTCTTTGATAATTTCAACTAATGCTAAACAGTGCCATAAGCATAGATATGCCTAAACATTTGCACCACCATGAAATATTGTTACATTGTGTATGTTGTCAATTTAAGAAAACAGGGCCCAACAAATTGAAATTAGGAAGAGGCTGTTAAGTTATTCAACTTACACTTTGACATCAAAACATTTTCAAATGTTTTAAACACAATTGATTTAACATTTGATATTATTAAGGGCTTGTATGGAAATCGCACAGCATTAACATTTTACCCAAAACATGTGTGTTTGTGTAGCTAATCACGGAAATTCCCAAAGCATTGAATACATTCAACATTAGTTATAAATTAACTTGGTCTTAACTTAACCTTTTCTTCACTTTATGACTTGACAAGCGGTTGTCGATTCGATTCGCACACACAAACCATACATCACAACATCAAACCTCACATCACAACATCAAACCGTACATCACAACATCAAACCGTACATCACAACATCAAACCGTACATCACAACATCAGACCGTACATCGCAACATCAAACCGTACATCACAACATCAGACCGTACATCGCAACATCAAACCGTACATCACAACATCAAACCGTACATCACAACATCAAACCGTACATCACAACAAATGAACAAGCCACTAGGATCTGTTTTTCCCTTGAGAGGTAGGCCTAACGAGGGAGCGCCCCACAAGTGGACAACCACAACAACGCTGCTCTCTCTGTCAGTTGGAGTCAGAGAGGTGATCTGTTGTGCTGCTCGGTCTACCAATACCACAGCAGCATCTGTTTCCCATCATCTGGCAGCGTCCTCATATAGCCTGGCTCAGCCTCCGCTCAGCTGGCAGGAGGCATCATGGGAATAATGACAGGCACAGATCTGGGGGTTATCTGGTTTCCATGACACCGAGGAGGGCTCAGCATTAAAGCAACGCTAGCGTGGTGGACGGCTAGGCGGTAGCTGTTACTGTCGTACGTTCACAGCACATCGATTTTCGGAGGCCATCTGTTCTCAATAGGACTTCCTGTGTATTTTGTGTCCTATTTCTCCTATCACATTCTTACCATAAATAGAACATGTAGTCAATAAAAGGCGAGAACACAGTGGGGAAGGCATGGTGTATGAGGCAGGCATGGCGTATGGGACAGGCATGGCGAATAGGGTGTGGATGGCGGAAGGCATGGTGGATGGGGCAGGCATGGTAGATGAGGCAGGCATGGTGGATGGGGCGTGGATGGCAGAAGGCATGGTGGATGAGGCAGGCATGGTGGATGGGGCGTGGATGGCGGAAGGCATGGTGGATGGGGCAGGCATGGTGGATGAGGCAGGCATGGTGGATGGGGCATGCATGGTGGATGAGGCAGGCATGGTGGATGGGGCATGGATGGCGGAAGGCATGGTGGATGGGGCAGGCATGGTGGATGGGGCAGGCATGGTGGATGAGGCAGGCATGGTGGATGAGGCAGGCATGGTGGATGGGGCAGGCATGGTGGATGAGGCAGGCATGGTGGAAGGCATGGTGGATGGGGCAGGCATGGTGGATGAGGCAGGCATGGTGGATGAGGCAGGCATGGTGGATGGGGCAGGCATGGTGGATGAGGCAGGCATGGTGGAAGGCATGGTGGATGGGGCAGGCATGGTGGATGGGGCAGGCATGGTGGATTGGGGCAGGCATGGTGGATGGGGCAGGCATGGTGGATGGGGCGTTGATGGCGGAAGGCATGGTGGAT